CAGGTGTTTGATTGCAGTCTTGTAAATTCCTTCAAATGAGATGGTAGACCGTCAGTTCTTGCAATTTCCTTCGCACCGAAACAGCTATTGCAACTGCACTATTTCGTTGAAAGAATGACTAAATTACGCCCAGGTTGTCGTGTGGGATTAGAGGTAATGGCAGGTGGGGACCACCGATCTCTAGAAAAAAGCTGTAGGATGGGTAGTTGGCCGTTGACCGGAAGCATGTTGATCTATGCTAGAAGAACGAAGTGAAGCAAAAAGCCAGATTGATAGCGCGGCATTGAAGCTACTCTTGGATAGACGGCTATTGCTGTTATGACAAGCGATGCGAAGCTACAACAACGGAGTCCTGTCTCACATGGTGTTGCAATGTTGGTACATCAGCATCATCAGTACACGTTAACTGAGGGTGAGAAAAACAAATCAGCTAATGTGCCGCAATACAAAAAGGACGAGAGGACAAAAGCTAAAAAGCAACATACTGCTAAAATCACATTATGCAGAGAGTTTGAGATCGTGGTTGGAGGGGAAAGCTAATGCTGAGGTGACGGACAAAGAGACTCACAACACAAACAACATTGAGATCGGCTTCTCACCATGACAGCTAGTGTATCCATCTAAACGGGTCCATCGTCCTTGGGACCCAAGCGCGGCAGCCGGGAAACACCAACTGACGCCAAGTTCGTAGTGAGGGATTTCATTCCCCTAGACTAACTCGTTGCTTGATATCCCTTCCTCTTGTTCCAAATGGTACAAAATGATCGATAGCCCAAGTGTTCTGCATTAAGTCATTCATACATTGTACGCGTTGACCGCAGGTAGAAAACACCTCAGCCATTGTGCCGCAATACAAAGGACAAGAAGCAAAAACAACACAGGCATGCCAGCTGAGACCCAAGTAACGGATCGGCATCGTTCCGGAGAGCCAACAATCGGCTATCGTGCCTCAAAAAGAGGTTATATTATGTTTAACGAATGAGATCGTGATTGGAGGAGAGGCTAAGCAGGAGGAGGATGGACAAAGGAACTCACAACACAAATCCCACTGGGGTCGCCTCCTAGCCATAACAACAAGTGTGTCCAACCAAAGGTGTTCATCATCCTTAGGACCCCAACCAGGTAATTGGAATGCACCGACCAACCCCAACTTCGAAGTGAGGGTTTTCATTTCTCTCGACCAAGTCATCGCTTGGCCTCCACTACTCATCTTCCAACCGCACCCACAACGCGCAAGCAATGCACGTCACGGAAGTCGGTGTGCTGGCATGCGCAACTTGTGGCCCAGCCATTGGAGCCTGGTGCATGGTATAATGGTGCTGAGCGGTTCAACAGCTTTTCCTGCACCGAATACGCGACGCCGACCATGCTCATTGCTCCTGCGGTGCTCCAACCAGACATGAGCTAAGCTGCGAAGACAGCGATGATCGAACGTGGCTAACCTTTTTATGTCTGTCGACCAGATGGGCCAGGTTTCACAATCGTATAAGAGAGTTGAACGGACGGCGAGAGTGATGCCACGTCTGCGCCACAGGTGGCGGAGATTAGCAAAAGCACCTCTAGCTTTTGCTATACGGTTTGTAATCTCAGCTTCGATCGCACGAGCTCTACTGTAGCTGCCCAGGTACTTTAATTCCTGAAAGACTTCTAGCTGATCACCACCAGGGGTCAGCGCAGGGGTGGGTTATTGCCAAGCTTGCAGAAAAGCTTTGTATTTCGATGGAGCAAAACAGAGGCCAAAGCGATTGACAGCCAGTGCTAATCGGTCCAGTGCAGCCTGGCACCTTTGGGTACTGTCGCCTATGAGGGCAATGTCGTCCGCATACTCCAAGTCAAGGTGTCGCTCACCAGGAAGCAGCACCACACCTTCTAGTTCGTGTCCAGCGGACGCTGTTTCCATGACTTCATCAATGGCGAAGTAAAAGAAGGTGACAGCGGGCAACCTTGTCTCACACCGCTGGATGATACTGATGGGCGGCGACAGTTTGCCGTAAACCCTCACTTTGCCCTAACTATGCGTGTACAGCGCTTGGATAATATTCACATATTTATCGGGGACATCTTTCTTCAGCAGACAGTCCTGAAGTGCACATTGATGCACCGAATTGAAGGCACCTTTGATGTCGAGAAACACGTCAACGGTGAGTCGCCAATAAACACGGCAGTGCTCCAACAATTGAGGCAATGTGAAGATGTGGTCGATGCAGCCTCAATTTCGACGAAACGCGGCTTGCTTTTTGCGGATCTGGCCTTCACCCTCGCCAGTTAACCTGTGGAGAATGACGGAGGCAAGCACTTTGGAGGCAATTGATATCAGACTGATCTCCCTATGGTGGCCGCATTCCGAATGGGAGCCTCCCTTGAAAATTGGGACAATGACGGAGCGGTTCCAGTCTGTCGGGACTGTCTCCTGCTCCCAAAGTTTTACTAGCAACTCGTGTACATCATCTACTGCAGCAGGTCCCCCGAATTGGTAGAGAGCTGCTGAAAATCTATTTCACCAGCGGCCTTATGCAAGTTCAGCCGTTTTCTCTCACCTTCGACCTCTGCGCGTGAGGGCGGATCTAAAGTGACGGCCCATGGAGAAGGGCACTCCATGTCCAAAAGAGAAATCGATAATTCAGCTTGGTTAAACTGCTTTGTAAAGTGTTTGGCCCAACTCTCCAAATGTTTCAACAAGCTGTGGATCGACTGGCCACTATCATCGCGTATTGTCTCGCTAACACCAGGCCTCCTGCTGCCTATTTCCCGTATCAGATGGAATAACTTAGGATGACTACCAATGGCAGCGGCTGCTTCCATTTCCGATGCACAATAAGACCACCAGCTTTCGCGGTGTCTCTTCAGACTAGCATGCAGTTTTGTCCTGAGACTTTTGCTAGCCTCATGGTATTCGCTTCCAGTCGGAATACGTCGGCAAGCATCCCTAAGTTCCAGAGAATTTGTAGAGACCAAAGGTCTAGGTTGGCAATTCGATTTGCCACATAAATACCTGCCTGCTGATAGTAACGTTTGGCGGATATGCGACCAGTGATCTTCGACAGTGTTCAGTGAACGCTTACTCAGCCCAGATGCCAGCATAGTTTGATATGTATTCAGAACACCTGGCTTCGTCAGCTGTCTGGCCTCAATGCTTTCAGAGCGACGTTGCGGACGTCCGCCAAAAGGCACCCGCAGATCAGCACACACAAGAGCGTAGTCGGAGTCCACGCTGGTGCTCAAAATCGAGCGACAGTTTTGGACGCACCCTCTCCAGCGGTAACTAATCGTGATATGATCGATTTGCGTCCATGGCTGGCCCAAGGCTGGTGGACTCCAAGACTCTTCTGCGGGTGTTTTGTCGAAAGATAGTGCTCGCGAGAAAGAGGCGAGCATATTCACACAGGTGTAGCTATGGTTCTCCGTTATCATTACGGAAGCCTACACCATGTTGGCCGCGCAGATGAAGCTCATCAGAGGACAATTATCCGATTTGTGCGTTTAGATCACCAGCAAGCAGCACAGTATCCGTGTTTCTTCGGCAACGAAGATCATTAAGTTGGTGATAGTAATCAGCTCTCACCGAAACTGTGCTGCAGTTTGTGGATGCGTAAGCCGCAATGACAAACAGGCACTGTTTGTCCCCACGCGACTTCGATGCCTGGAACGAGCCAGCCATCCTAACGGCACACATTCGGATGTTGACACGGATCTAGTCGATCAGGGCAGCTTCAGCCCGGGCACTCAAAACAATGCTAACGCCAGGTTGACCTGCATTTGAAGCTGCGTCATTGCCAGACTGGGGTAATGAGAATGTGCCGCTAGTGTCGCATGTTGGGGATCGCAGAGTGAACCCGGAGCTCGAATCTTGCAGGCGGGTTTCCGAAAAACAGCGAATATCGATCAAGAGGGTCTCAAGTTTTCGGTCATGTGTTTCCTGTTGGTCAATCGGTAGAAAGGAACTCACCTTGAGTCATGCCAGTCTTAGCGAGGATCGAGGAGTCCAAAGGAAATCGGATGAACTGACGCTGTCCGCTTGGTTGAACATGGACTTGTCGACGGGATTGGAGCGACGCCCTATGATTGTGTGTGAGTTGCAACGCGAAAACAAGTGACTATTCAAGTAAGTCGGTCGAGGGTCAAGGGTTAAGGGGTTGAGAACGAGGGGATGAAAGTGAATTTAGTACGGGACGCTAAGGATCAAAAAGCGTAAGAGGGGGAATGAGAAGACGGGAAGACTTGAACAGTAGCACCCAAACCTCTATTCACCCTGCTCGATGCAGCAGATAGGGCGCCTTTGATTATCCTCTGCGACGGTCAGGGCATCAAGAGATTGTTAGAAGGAAGGTTCATTGTATTGCGTGGGCAGAATACTGTCAGGTTTCTCATGCCTAGACAGCAGGACGATTAGCGTTCTCAACCAAAGCCTTTGGTTCTTAAGCCTTACCACAAAGCAGCGCGGTTTTGGCACTGGACTATAGAGAGCTCGTTTTCTGGTGTAAGGAGCCACCCTCACTCCAACCCCCAAGCTGGAGCAGCAGGAGACTGAGTTTGTCTGGCCTCTAACCATTGACCAATGTGGTTTGAGTGGATCTGAAGGTGCAAAAGCACCACCCAGCATAGCTCAATGGATCACTGAAGTACACAAACCATCGCACCACGTTAAGGTCTAGTCTGATCGCGATGGGTCCAGATGTTGCACTCAAGTACACACACAAGCTAAGCTAGCGAACTAACAAGTCCCTTAGCTGTTGTTGTCTGGAGCTTGTCTTCAGGATATCCTATGTCAGGAGCAATAATTCTGGTGGGAGTCTGGAAATTACATGATGACCCTTCTGGGCGTCCTCATGTATGCGATTAATTTCAAAAAATGTTTCGGTCTGAAGAAACCAAAGCTGAGGATATTGTATCCGAAATGTTGGTAAGGAACATAGGTACGGTGCTAACTTCCCATGGTTGTTGGTCTGCCATATTCGCATACACGAAAGTAAAAGCAAAAGACGAAGGTGGATACGACTCACCGAATACTAAGGGTTGAGTCAAGTCAGGTCAGGTCAAACGGACGATAGAGGCTTTCGCCTAACAAGCGTCCAGTTTCTTGTGCCGGTAAGTGAAGCGGCCCCCGGGCACTTCGATGTTGGATTGAATTCTTGCTTCTGCAAAGGGATGAAACAAGAACGATAGCAATCTTTGCAGTTTCATGTGTCAACATCAAAATACACTGAGCTCACCTTGGGTTCACAACTTTGTTGGAGCTCTTCTTAGTTGCTGTACTAATGCCCTATCGCTTTTGGATACCGTGAAGAAGTAGAATGATACATTCCCATTGAGATATTTTAAAGCTCGCAAAAATTAATAATGAACAAGAAAATGTCTGTGTGGGATCGCTGTTGATGTTGGTACATCTTAGTAGTCAGTTATTCAAATATCGTTGATCGATTAGGTGTTGGTTGGACGTTTAAAAGATGATCGATACCGATGGTAAAAATGTCAGCTGACCGAAGCTTGTGTGGCACAATGATGAGGTCACTACAATTACACCCTGGGCAGCAGTTTCGTGCAGCATCCCACAAGCGGTAGTGAAAGTAGCAGTACGGGCGCGATGATCGTCTGCGTCAGTTGTTGTGTTGCCCCTTCCTGGAAGTGGATCTTTGCTTCTGTATTCGACCATGTCTAAGGTGAGAAATATTGAGCTCCAAATGTGAGAGTCTCATTACTGGAATCGAGTGTGGCACTCGCCGAAGTGCTTGCCGTGAGTGCATCAGCCACATGATACACAGAATTTTTAAAGAAACTTTCGTATAGTTTGTCGGCCGCTTCAGCCAGCTTATTCAGCGAAATGGATCCATCCTCGGACCCCTGCTGTTCAATTTGTTCATCAACGACCTCCCATCCTGTATCAGCAGCCACATACTGCTTTATGCGGACGACGCTAAGATATGGCGACCTATCCGCAGGCCAAGTGCTCAGGCACTTCTCCAGACAGATATCGATGCTTCTTATTCTTGGGCCTCGAAAAATTCGATCCCGTTTAACATCGACAAGTGCAAAGTCATGCACATTGGGCAAGGTGTGGCTAATCCGTACAATATCGGCGGTGTGCATCTTAAAGCCACATCCCAGGAACGCGAACTGGGGACCATAAGATCCGCCGACCTGAGCCCGAGCGCCAATGTAGCTACACTGGCGCGAAAGGCTAACGTTCGCCTGGCCCTCCTTGGACGTGCACTAGGGTCTTTCCCTAGAGAGACATTTGTCCGTCTCTATAGTACTTTAGTACGTCCGCTGCTGGAGTACAACATACTTGTCCAGCCGCCGTACCTGAAGAAGGACGAGGCCGTGCTGGAAACTGTACAGCGCAGAGCCACTAAGAGAGTGGACGGACTATTCCACTTCTCGTATGAGGAGCGTCTGGCGGCCCTTAACCTCTTCCCGTTGAAATATCGCAGGCTTCGTGGCGACCTTATCTTAGCTTATTCCGTCCTGACTAATAACAGGCACCCAAACGCAGGATTGCTGGTCCGCGCCCGTACAGATCATCTTCGAGGGCACTCACTCGAACTGATGACTCGTAGCAGTCGCCTTCTGTGCCGAAGAAACAGTTTCCGTGTGCGTATTGCCTTCGCTTGGAACGCCCTCCCTGAAGTTGTTGTCTCAGCGCCCAATACGGAGGCCTTCAAACAGCGCCTAGACGCTTGGCTCTTACCTCGCTGGTCTTCCACGTTGCTAAGATCTGGCCATTTGCCAAGCTAACACGCGGCGCTTCTATCATTTTGCTTCTATCCAACTTTGCCGAATTTACCTACAACACTCTCTTGTTCCAGATATCCACGTTCCCACAGTCAACTCGCTGAATACTTGTGCTGAACACCACTACTGCGTCGAGGCCCACAACATCTGGTACCTACCGACGAGATCAGGACCTTGCCGTCAGATCCCGAGGCAGAACCACCGAAACGCTACGCTTACTCGTTCTGCTCAAACCCGTGAAACCCGTGAATCAACCACTACAGCTAGTATCACCGTCGGGTTTGCCGGAAGACATTTAGTCCGGAGTTGGCGAATGGTGAAATCGTCTAAAGTTAATGAACCTACAGGTGATCGCATGTCGGAGGAGCTGAGGCGGTATAGGATCACCAATCTGGATGCCAGAGAGTAGCTGTTAGAGGCGTGCCTCATCGGATACAGCCGTGCGTTTTAAGATAGCTGCTTTAATCTTGTCATAAGTTGTGTTATTCGGCATGGGGTCGTGAATATCGATAACTTTCGAAGCCACGTATGTAGGCAAATGCGCAGTAACTCATCAAATCGTTGTAGACAGTGACCTGATCTTACGAATATGGAAGATAGACCGAAATTGAATAAAACAAACACGTGGATTTGACACGTCGAATAAAGACAAAGAAAATTCAAAAACATTTTCTGACAACTTTTCAAAAAGAAGGCTGATCAAACGTGACGAAGAAAATAAAATATCACGCGTTCCAACAAAATTACGGGGCCACCAGTTGATGTAGTAGACCGTTCGCTAAAATGTTCGAGTCCGAAGGCAAAAGGGAATCCTACGCATGAAGTCACAATAGAAAACAATCAGGCCTACTTGTGTTATAGTTCTTCCTTCAGTTGCCGTTAGGCTGATTCCGACTAGTGATTCATAGCTATGTATCCGACTGCTGGACAGGCATGACCACAACAAAAGCACATGCAATAGCGATGCGAAGCAGCGCGATGCGAATGCGTTGAATGGGTGTATTCAAACTTCCTTAATTAAAGCAAATGATACAACATGATTGATACTATGTGATAAAAAGGAAGAGAAAATGTGGTGTAAGCCCAAGCGCAACAGAACTCCTCCCTAGAGCCTGCGCTGGTAAGCAACGCTTGACATAGCGTTTATGGGACATATTGTGCTAATTTGCAGGGGAACGAAACACCACCTGAACATATGTGGATAGGGTCGCTTGTTGGGGAACACAGATTCGGAGTTTCGGGACTCGCTCAGGCGTTGGTCGGTGCGCTACAGCACAGGAACAGGAGTGTAGTGTGTGCCTGTTGTTTCTGAACTATCCAACGTTAGCTAGACGTATGTGGGTTTAAGACGATCAATGCTCACAGACTTTCGATCCAGTCTTATTCAGAACGAAATACTTCGGTTTCCGCGATAAGTCCTTTAATGGACCTTCATAAGGCGACCTCAAGAGTCTTCGGACAGTATCGATGCAGATAAAGGCGATTGGACAACTGTGTAAGTCCGGATGTATACGCTGCTAACGCGTGCTTAGCCGAAGAAGTATCGGTCTGATGGATCTGAAGTGCTGCTTCAGACGCTCAGCATAAGACGTAGGATTCATTCTCCCGGTGACTGGTGAGTCAGGTATCAGCTTGTCTGAGAGTTGTCAATGACAAGTTCAGCTGGCCAGCATCTGATATCCCCTTTGACAGTATTGCGAATGCTAAGAAGAATAGCTGGAAGACGTTCAGACCGACAGGCATCAGGCGAACTAGCTGTAATGGCGACTTCCAATTGTCGTTGAAATCGTTCAACAAGGCCACTGGCAGCAGGATGACAGACAGTCGTACAACCAATTAATCGACAAGTCATGAAAATTGGTGGAACTGAACTGAGTGCATCTGTCAGTGGTGACAGTGGCTGGCACACCGAAGAATGAAGTCCACAATTCAACGAAAGTACGAGCAACAGTTTCAGCGGAAATATCACTTAAGGGAGTTGCATGGGAAAACGAATAAAATGATTAACACAAGTTAGCAGACAAGGAAGACCGTTCGAAGCGGGCAACGGTCCCATTACATCAGCATGAACTCGTCTGAATCGGGCTTCAGAATGTGAAAACGTACCAGTACTTCTGCTACTGTGTCTATGAAACTTACTGGTTTGACAACTAAGACAGCTTTTACCCATTGTCGGATTTCGGTGCGCATATTAGGCCAGATGTATCGGTCGGTGATTAGTCTCATAGTAGATCAAATGCTGGATGCAATAATCCACGGAAATGGGTCATGAACCTCTGGCCGGTAGGACCGTGGAACGAAAGCTCTCGATTTACCGGTGGAAACCTTGCAATATATTCTTACGTCAGAATTGAGCACCCGCGACTGCGAAAAATGCAACGTAGCGTTCGATCGAAGCTGGTTAAGTTCTGGATCATTTGCTTGGGTAGCAGACATTCCTACAAGGTCGATGAGCGAGCCTGAAAACTGTAAGCACGGGAAGGTGCGTGGGCAAAAGTATTGTTAGGACCATCAACATAGCGAATGTCAACGCAAAACTGGGAAAGATACTCAATGCATCGAATCTTTCTAGGGGAGTAACGTTCATACCTTGCACGAAAATCATACACAAAGGGTTTACGGTTGGTCAAGATGACAAAAAGCTGCCTCTCAAGAATGTGACGCAGTGTTTTACGGCCAGGTAAATAACGGCGCTCGCGAATGAATGTACTATATCTGGTCAAGGCAGGTTGAAGCTTTTGTGAGAAGAAAGACAAAGGTTGAATTTCGTTACCCACTAGCTCCTGCGATACGGCATCAACAGCGAATTGGGATGCGTCTGTCCTGAGAATGAGCGTGAGCTTGTCGTCCATTCTCAAGTAAGCAAGTGAAGTGGATTGGCTCGCTTCTGTTTGACTACGTTAAAGGCTGCTTCGGCGTCTGCAGTCAACGTAAATTTCTCGGGTTTACCCTTGGGCGAATCAGTTACTCGTTGAACAGTTGCGACTCAGCCACGTATTAACCGTCCGTAGTAGTTAACCATGCCGATAAAACGGCGTAGGCTGTTAACGGATTAAGGTGATGAATAATCTATGATGTTTTTTTCAACCAAGGAACTAATTCCATCACCGCCTATCCTGCGGCCAACAAAAATGATCAATGTATGCCGAATACACATTTGTCAGGGGTAATGGTAATACCATGATTTTCGAAAGATTCTAAAACTTTTCGTAGGTATGTCATGTGTTCCTCGGTAGAAGTACTTGCAACTGATACATCAGCAATGTAAACAAAGCCC